TGGATAATAATTATTTATCATCATTGTATTCCTGATCTAGAGGAATGATGGCTATCCAGCATAACACGAGGTTCGAAGATTTGGCTGAATAGAAAGTTTATGTGAGAAAAAAAAAACAAGTCTGAGTAACACATTAAAGCACTATTTATTTATTGTTTCATGCGCAGTTGTATTACATGTCTTCCAGGCTGACAAGAGAAAATTAAGGTAAGGTAAAACTGAATTTTGGACCATACAGTATCTTACAATCACAAATCTGAAACATTATGGTTTAAGTAAATGTTATTTTGGAGTTTTCCTCCCGGTTGCCTTTCAAATACTACACTCTGGTAAGACTACTTCGTACTTCTTTAGGAGTTATCTGTTTCTTTCTACCCCTAATTTCACAAAATGACAACAGATGTCTTTTGGAACCTTCACTAGGTTGTTTACGTCAGACTTCATTCTGTTAGCTTCTGAAGAGAATATATATGGTCTCTGGAGCGTTTTGCCCAATAGTCTTGTTTCATGTCAGACGCTTCACGAGATAAAGCAGCCAATGGTAGCTCATTATGCCAAGCATCAAAAACTAGTCTATAAAGTGAATACTTGTAAATTATTAGCGAAAAACTGGGTACTGTGTACATATCTGTTTATTAAACACAGAACTTCAAATCAATAACCTTGTTTCAAATAATAAATTTTAAACCTTTGTCGTTCTTCAGATACAAAATATTTGACTGAGTGACTTTTATCACATTCACAAGTAATATTATGACATATTACCTTCACATATTACAATGGCTATTCCACAGAAGTTTGTACCATGAGTGATACAGACACTTGTACGTGCTAGCATAAGTTGGGGTCCTCTACCTAGGATATGTGTATTTGGAATGATGTATTTGTCAATGAAACAGATAGTAAAAACACTTTTGCATAATAATCTCTTGATGTTATTAAACTCTTTATGCAAAAGTCGTAAGTAACTGAGATTTTATATACACAGTAAACTAAGATCCCAACAAAGTTCTCCTTGAACACAAAAAAGTCATAACTTTTAAAATTAAAATACAAGCCAGTAAAATATTTCTTTCCATGGTAAAATTCTAAAATTCACATTAGAAGCTACCATCATAGTCAGGAGCTAATGTATGTTTCTATCTAAGTGCTTCAGAAATTGAAAGTTGTAACCTAGGTCTTTGGAACTAGTAACAGTATCATCCACATGCTTCCGAGAATATAATAGTTTACAGTACTGTGAACAATCCTCTAACCATTGTTTTTCTTGGATAGAAATAAAAATATTAGCTGGAGAAAGAGCTCACCTGGAGCCTATATGTACACCATTAATCTGAAAATTAGAAGAAAAAAAAAGATTACCATTCAACAAAAAATTCGATTCCTTGGTTGAAAGAGTCGTTGGTTTATAAAATTCAGATTTTGAAATACATAACTCACTTGAATTGTCATTGAAAATTAAATCCGCACTTAGCTATATTGTTTTTTTCCAAAAGAATGTCAGTAAATAAGGATTCGGTGTTAAAATTGGTTCAGTAAATTTAACTATCAAACATCTGTGCCCACTCTGTTTCTATGCTGCATCTTCAACCTTACACGATTGACTGACGTTCTGATCTTCCTGTGATTAAGAACTCTGAACATTTTCAAATTTCAATTGCCAATGAAGCCATAAGTTTTGTGAGCTGCCTAACAATCTATTGCACTCACGAGATGTCTCGTATAAACCATCCAATGAACTTGAAAGCCTTCTGTCCAGCACGTTATGGGCATTTTGCTGACACAGAGGTAACACCGTGGGTGATGACCAGCAATGCATTGTTGGTGTGTTATGTACCTAACATAGCCCACTCAGGTAATGACAACTCAGCACTAAATTCTGCAGTAGGATCCTGAAAGACAATTACAATATCCAGGAGGGCCTTCTAGTCATATGAACAGTCCGCATTCATTGCAATATCATAAATAGTAGAGATGTATGTACATAAACTGTTTTTTTTATTATCTATTAGGATCGTTCTTATAGTTTCATTTTGTATTGTACTTATTTAATGTTGATTTGATTTTATGTGCTTTCATTTTTAAGTGTATTTTAAGTTTTCAAATTTAATTTTTATTCTGTTAAAATTTTACTATGTACCATGTATCGTGATTTTGATGTTTATTTTAATCTAATTCTCAGTTGTATTTTGTTTTGTTTTTAATTGGGTGGTTGGAGCAGTTGTGTTTCCTTTTGTTGTCTTCTTGTTAATGTAACTTATAACCTTTGAGCTTTCTAATTTAGCTTACAATGCTTGATTTCAAAGTTCGAATCTGGGAAGACCTTGAGATAAGGAAGGAGGGGATGTGATGATGTTAATATCATAATATTTTACCCATCGAAATCTCGTATTGAATAGATCTTAATTCAGATATATTAAAGTTGTTTTTCTAAATTGTCATCCAGTTGTTCTTTGTATATAGTTAGCGTCTTCCTGGTAAACCGGATGTAAGAAAATCGTAAACATGCGTTAATAATTTTGCTTAGATAAAGGTTACGTACTACAACAGCTATTCCAAAAAAGTTTTTGAACCAGTTTGATCTTGTATCTGTCTCTTGCTTTTATGGGAAAACGAGCACTAAAACTTACACTACTAGGTCGAACTAGTTTTAAAACAATTATAAAACTAATTCGATGACGAGGAACCCACTTTGAGACTAGTAATGGCTGGAGACGGCTTGAATGGGTAATGAAGAAAAACTTTAATATAAGTTTAACATAACAGTGGTGTTACTAGCCGGCCTTAGTCCTGCTCACCATTACGAATATAGGAATGGAGTCGTGGAGACAGAGACTGGTACCTAATGAGAACGCTATTATTAAAACTTAAGATCCAGGGCATCACTAATGATTTGGAATATATTGTTACGTATCCGTTTGTGTTAATTAACTTTCCGTAACTTTGTTCCGACGAAACTTAAGCGACACAAGTTCTTTCTTAATAAAAACTGGTTTATTCTTTCCGAATACAACTTTACCGATACACTCAACTTCAACAATCGCGCTAAACAAACGCTATAACAACGAACGTCAATAATACTTCTGACCGCAGTTCAATAACTCACTATTTACACAGACATTACAATACCGCGTCACGTTGTCCCCCTCTTATATATACCAGTCTACCCTCTATCTAGTCAATACTAGAGCATTCGCCAAAGTACAGGATAGTTCTAGAACGTGGCGTCACTGTAGTCATGTGACTCGCTGACGCAACAATATGTTATTCTTCCGGAATCCACTCTTTATCGAAATTTTCATATAAGGCATTATTTTTCAGCATGAAGATATATACACATAGCGCGCCTGATCTCCTGGACTATTTCCCGAAGGCTGTTAAGTGATCTCTCGATAATTGCTCTATATCTGGATGCCCAGATCTGCGCTTTAAATTCTCCTAGCAAGTAAACAAAGAAAAGTATTTAAGAGTTAGGTACAGAGTGACAGAAAAGTACTGTGTTAACAGTGTTACACATGATGTATTTACTGTTAAAAATGGAGGCACATTTTCTCCATAAGGTAGCTGGCGTTATACAGGCAAGCATTGCGTGGCGAACAGATTCAACACAGGAGCAGAAGGGGCAATTAATTACTTATGTTATTTTGAAATTATTGAGTCTGCATCTCACGGGTCTATTCGTGGGCTATTTTCCAGGCGAGGTCGCGCCGAGACCCTTCAAAGTTGACCCAATTCCAAGCTTTGGGTCAGTTAACATTTGGGTAGCTTGTTTCTACTTTGGGTGATGGGTCTTTCTGCATTAAGTTGTAAAGTTCTTTTGTTTCTAGGTTGATTATTTTCTTGCTTTTTGACTGATGGAACAATGTTTTCAGATGAAATTTTAAGTAAGTAGGTGTGGTTATAGCATTGTTATTATGGTAAGTATCTGTAAAGTAGTTACTGTTGTGCCCTAGGAGGTAGGACGTGAAGGTGGTCCGAATCTAGTTGTGAGACCGCTGTGTCTTGTGGTGGGGTTCAGGAGTTCAGCCTATTTTAAAGGGCGATACATATATCTGTACCAGTTATTATGAGTTAGATGTCTATTTCTTGAATACATTTATTTGAAATGATCACTGACATAGGCAATCTAAGGATAGTGATATACCACACTAAGAACTGGTCTAGCTTGAAATTGTAGTATTTCATTATTCTCGACTCTGTCCTTATCCTGCGCAGAAACGAATTATGTTTTCTCTTGTCTTTTTATTATGCGGACCTTTTAGAAACATTCTCTTGAGCCATATCAGCCAGACTTACTGCAAAATAAGAGGCCGATTACTAAGTGAAAAACACACCTTCACACTTTATTGTACGATTATATTTTTAACTTTTATTTCTACATTTATATTTTTGTAGTACTTTGGCTAACCGTGTTGAAAATATTAATCACATTAGTATTTTCAGTACTTGCTCTATTGCAGATGTTTCGTTTCTTTCAGTACTAAAAAGTTCATACAAAAACATTATATCGTTTATCACAATGCAGATATATAATGCACCACTCATAAAATGTTGTTGCAATGTCTGAGCCACGTTTATAAGGGTTAATATAAAGTATCTAGAAACGACCTAGAGAAGCCCTATTTTAATTTTTCCAATCAATTTCATAACAATTATAGTTCTATGTTACATGTTTAACAAATTATTAAAAACTCTACCCTAGTTTAAATAACTAATAAAATATTTTTTTTTCAGTGATATAATGACTAATTCTCAACAAAAGAGCTACAGAAAACATTTTTCTTGTTTCTATATGTTAACCCAAACTGTTAGAAAATTCACGATCTTTCCTAATTACATTCAGAAAGTTGATTGGACTTAAATAACTTTTTTTTAATTCTTTTAGCAATGAAACAATTGTTTTTCATCTTTTGGATATTTTACTTTTATTTGTTAAACAATCGATGTGTTGCTTTATACAGGAAACAAATATTCTGGTGCACCAGGTGGCAGTTGCAGGGAGGAAATGCAGTCATTCACCAAAAAATGGCAGGGGTATCTGGTCGTGTTTTAGTTTACGGAGGAAAAGGTGCTCTTGGCAGAACATGTGTAGCATATTTTAAGTCACAAAATTGGGTCAGTAAGTTATTTTCACATCAGATTTGTGTTTTATAATTTTGATAAGTATGGAATTAAAGCTAATTTATGATTCCGTATTTACCATTACTACTACAGTATTAGTTCAATAATAATACTAATTACTATAGTATAGTACTTGTAAGTTGTAGAACTAAAACTAAAAGTGACGAGATCCAGGTGTTTAAAATTGTATGGATTAGATAATTTGCCGATGAAAGGTGTTTGACTGGTTGAATGATATTGTTGAACATATGATCTTGAAATTGAAAGGATACATTAAGTTTGAATTAGTGATACTGCAGTGATAGTGAAGGATTGACATTGGGCTGAATATGCGTTAGTCACTCTGGTTGTTCTTTTATTAGTTTTAATTCGTAAATATTATGGTCTTTAAAATATTTTTAAACTCAAAAAGTACTATTTACATGATGATCTGTGCTGTTTTGATAACTAACTTATCTGTTCTAGTGGGTGGGATCTATCGACATGTTCCCAAACGAGGATGCACATGCCAATGTGATAGTGAAACCATGTGATTCTTGGACTGAACAAGAATCTGAGGTGTGGTCCGGTGTTGAAGCAATGCTATCAGGAGAGAAGTTAGATGCTATTATTTGTGTGGCTGGTGGTTGGGCTGGAGGAAATGCAGCATCAAAAGGTTGTCTTTAGATAATTAATATTATACAGATTAAAATACATCCTCAATGTTTGGTGAAAATTATAGTGTTCAAACTTTTAACCACAGAACTTAATAAACAGTTTATCATTGTTTATTATAAAAGTACTGCAGCAATTAGTGTCTACTAAATGAATATACTTGTATAAAGGTCAGTTTGTAAGAAAAAATATTTTTTATAAATAATTGTGTCCCCATAAAGATGAGTAGATTTTTGTTTAAATTGTAATGCATTTCTTTAAATAATAAGAGATATTTTTCTTTCCTTTTTATTAGCTATATTTTTGTGTGCTGGTAATACCAAGTGTGAGGTGTGCATATACCCGATTCGATTTTATTACTCACAAGGATTTCTACCAGCTTATCTTCAAATTGAAATTCTTTTAGGCAGTATTAGAATAAATTAATCTATGAGACTTTGGGCATGGTCAAATACATTAGTCAAAAGAGTTTGACCTTCTGGGTCCAAAACTGTAATCAGATCTCAAATTGGTCAAGAACTGATGGAGCTATGAGCTTAAAATTTGTACTTGAAAAATTTAGCCATTCTATGAGCTAATATTCTGCAGCTAAAAAAAAGTTATTAACAGTTGAACACGTTTGTGTCTAATTATTTGTTGAGGGTTGAAAGAAAAGAAAATTTACCATTAAACTTTAAAAACTGGGTTTGAATACACAAAGTAATGAGTAGAAAAATTGTTGTATTCTGTTCTTATAAGGAAAACTGGACATTTCACTCGTATACATTGTATTAGTCACTGGTTAGGGCACATTTGGAATATTGTGTTTGATCATGGACTTCTTACCATAGGAAGAACTTTAAATTGTTGGAAATAATTCAGAGGAGAACTACTAGGATATCTGGGAAGGAAAGGTTGTCATACAAGAACAGATTAATATCTCTGAAATTGTTTTCTCTTGAAAAAAGAAAAGTTAGGGGAGATCTGATTGAGTTTTTTAAAATTGTTAAAGAAATTGACAATGCTGATACATCATCTTTTTTTCATACTTAATGATAAGAATGGTAAGATTAGGAGATACGTATCTAGTCTTTTTCAGGGTAGGAGTTGTCTTAAGGTAAGACATTTTTATTTTTCTAACAGGATGGTTGACATTTGGATTGACTTTCTTTGAGATATGGCAGATGTAATAAATTTAAGGAAGGCTTGACAAATATTTAAATTATAAATGTTGACTTCAAGTTTGTTAAGATATTAATAGTGTTGATGCATCATTGTTTTCTTACTTACTGATAAGAATGGTAGAACTAGGAAACACATGTAAATTTTGCCAGGTTAGAATTGTCTTAAGCTAAGGCATTTTATTTTTCCTACAGGGTGGTTGACATTTGGAATGATTTACCTTTAGATGTAGTGGGTTTAATAGAAGGCTTGACAAGTATTTAAATGATAAATGCTGACTTTGATTTTTTTAAGAACCACCTAGATCAGGCCTGGGGAACCTTTTTGAGAGCGTGTGCCCAAATTGCTGATAATTTTTGGAAA